GGAAGCTTTTAATTTTGAATGGGGGGGGAAAAAAAAAAAAAAAAAAAAAAGGAATCCAGAGAGTGGCAGAGAAGATGTGCTTATATACAGAAGTGGTACGGACATTGAAAAAAACCCTTGGCAAAACTGGTTGCTTTGAAGGGCTCAGGAAGTTTAAGTCCACGTGTATATTTTCTTAATGATGGGTGTTTAGGAAATGTACTCAAAATGCGTCAATCAATTTCTTGTTTCAGTGTAAACATCCTGTGCTGGTGTCTGGGAAGAGTTGTGAAAATGGCTATAAATTAAAAAAATTAGTGAATTTGATCACTTTGCTTAATTTTCCAAGCTTAGTGAAACTGAAAGGTAAATAGGATGGACAAAAAGTGAAAACTAAATTCTCCTGCTTTTTTTTTTTTTCCCCTTTAACATACAATACTGAGTGTCTGCACGCTGTTACTCGTAGCAGGATGGCAGAGCGAGCAGCCCTGGTCCCTGCACCCACCAGTGCTCCTGCAGCAGCTTGACCTGACCTGGGCAATGTGGTGGGGCTCGGCCACCGAGTCCCTCATTAAATGTAACTGGCTTCATCATCCATGGATTTATCTTGGTATTTTCTTCACCAAACTGTGACTGAAACAAAGGCAATCTCTGCACGTGCTCCCCGTGTGTATTGTTTGGAGACGGGAAGATGGGCTGCAGTGCCTTAAAAACCTGATTGTGGTCATTCTTCTTTGGGAATTATTTCACCCGCAGCGGGACCGGTTTGGATTACTCCTGCTTTGGTGTCCAATGATGCAGCGAGTGCCTTTTGCCCTGACTTCCAGACGTGTGTATCTGCTGCTGGTGGTGCCCAGCACACCGGTGGGGTCAGCGGCATCCACCCCAGCCACTTCCACCGCCCAGTCCCTCCGGCCACCACGGGGCCGGTGTGTCCCCATCTGTTTCACGAGGTGTGCCGGCACGTGCGGTGACTGTTGGCGTGACGTCTCCTTGCTTGCTGGCTTGTGGTGATGTGTCCCCAACCCTGAAACCAAATCCGCTCCTGGTGGGGGAGTGTCAATCCCTTGTCTTTGGCTGGTGGAGACGAGCGCACGAGAGCGACGACAGCATGAGGAGGAACATGCAGGCTACACATGTGAGCTGCCCCCCCGGATTTATGCCGTGGGTCAGCCCCTTGGACTGCAGAGGCCATAAATCAGCACAGAATTTGTCCTGGGGCCTGGGGCCATATGGTGTGCGGGAGAGGGAGAGGGATGCCCGCGGGAAAGGAGAATAAAGGCCTGTGTTTGGTGCAGGGATATTTCAAAGCCTGAGAAAGGGGCAAAGTTCAGTTTCTAATTGAGTGCTTTGAAATATATAGATGTATATGGTCAATGTTTATCTTCCAGAACAAAGATGACTTTGTTTTTCAAATGTTTGTGTGTTGGGGCTGAAAACTGTACGCAGGGTCTCCACCAGGAGAGGTTTCTCTGCAGCCTCAGGAACTGCTGGGGGGTGGGTGCTCCTGGTGCAGGGGGGAACAACCAGGACCTGCACCTTCGGGGTGTTCTCCTGGCTTCGCTAATGTATGTGTAGGGTTCCCACTCTGTATACACATAATTATCTCCAAAAAGGATACATTTACATTTGTAAGAATTATTATACACAAAGTCCTGAGTTTAATTATTCCTCTGTCCATATCTTGTACTCCACAGAATTTGCATAACAATCAGACATCAAAGCCAGAGCCCTTTACTGGAAGAAAGGTCTTTCCACTGTATTATTTTGTTGCCAAATAAATTATAATGATCAATTTAATCTAAATTTACTCTTTAGATATTTATTTTTTTTTCTGCAAATCGATTGAAATGAGAGTTAAAAGCAAAGTTTAAATTTAGTAGTTAGAATCTAGTACAGTAAGGTATTTAAATTAGATTGCTTTTTGTTTGATCTTTCTCACTCCTCTCTGCCAACCCCTTCACCCGTCTCTTTTTCTCCATTCTCCTTGCCATGCCATTTTGGAAATCGGAATGGCTTTGCTGTCGCTGAAGTGATTGGGAATTCTGCCGCTGGAGGAGCAAGCTGGTGAGTATTGCGTTTAATTGATCTAGAAATAGCAAAAAGTAATTATTCACCATGCCTCTGCTTATTTGTGTTTCCTGTACCTGTTGTCTCTCTAGTAGAGATGATTTAATTAGAGAACAAAGACTATTTTACATCCAAGGTAGTTAAGGGATGCTTCAGTCTGTATAATCATTTGAATTTCTGATTTCCCTTTTGATGATGGTCTACCTGGCTGATGCCAAAGGGCCCAAGTTTGCAGGTGGTGAAGTGCTCTATCCAATAGTGAGTGACGTGGGAAGACACTCATAACTACTGTATTCTCTTGCTTTCTCCTCAGAAAAAATATATATCCATATATGTATGTGACCATATATTCGATATATACTTGAGTAAACTGGTGGCTGCTAAAAATCCTCCAGAAAAACACAGATTATAAAGTCTTTCTTTTTCAGTGTATTAATGTTAACAGAAAACCACTGTAATACAAGAAAAAGTTTTATTGTCAGTTTATTACTCAATATTAAGGATTTTAATGAGGCTTCCACAGTTGGATATGTAAAATAATTACATCTAATCTAATTTCTAACTTTGATTAAAAAGTAAAAAGCTTATTCTGGCTTAGTTTTAGTGAATTAGGTTGTGTCATGATGTGCTTATATAGTGATGAAGCTGTATCAAAACCATTTAAGCATTTGGTATATGGATTATTCTTTAATGCTATCTGTACATGTATAGCATGTGCAACTGGGACAGTCACCTAGGTACAAACATGCATATATGTACAATATTGTGAGTACTATGTAGCCCATATCTATTAAGATCTCTGCAGTTTGTGTGATGTTGAATTTGTGGCCTCAAGGAGTATCAGGTGGGGCCGTGGCTACAGAAACCACCTGTGTCCATCCCGGGCAGCATTTTTTTTCTCCATTTTGGCCTCCCTGAAACCAATAACAGAAGTTACCCTTGATCAGGATTTAATTCTCCCCATAAATTACACTCTGGCAATTAGGGTGGGTTTGCATATAAAACCTTACCCAAGGTGCATAGATGATGTTTCTCCCTAAGGTGGGTTTGTTGGGTGTTTTTGGTAGGGGAGTTTTCGCCCTGTCTTTTGTAACAACTTATAGCTCTGCACTGGTAAGAAGATTATTGGTGAAGAAAATCAGTCAATTAAATACATTCATACTAAATGCATCTTATAGCTTTACCACTATGAGGATGATTGATTAGCTGTCTCGAGAAATTTATAGCCTCTGATAAGATTGCACCAAGAGAAGTGCCTTGTTAGCTTTAAATGGAGAACAAAAAGAGATTTTTGGTGTTCCTCATTACTGGTTTTCCACTTGTGGCTGAGATAAAATACAGTAAAGTGCTTTTTCCTCTTATGCATAAGGGCTCTTCTGCCTTTCATACCTGGTAGCATTGTGTGGCCCACTTTACATTAGCATGAATGGCAATTGCCTTGTAAATGTGACTGCCATGAATGGGTGAATAGTCTGTCGTCTCCTATTTTGTCCTTTGTCTTTATGTTTTATTCACTTTTACCCTCTACAAAAGAGCCTTAATTTAGATCTGGGAAAACAGTAGCGATGCTCCATTTCATTGTAGATCTAGTGGCAGGGTTTATTTGATTTGGATGTTCTTTATGTTTTGATGGGTGTACTAAACAGCAGAAGCTATTTTAATCAAAAGAAAATTTCAATGAGAGCGTGACCTGTAAATAGTGGTTTTGATAGAATCACAAAAGTTTCTGTTACACGTTTGGAAATTATTTCCACAATTTAACTGCAAAGGGCAAGTAAATCATGCCCCTTTAAGAGTCAGGAAAAAGGAGTGTTTTTCAGGACCTTTAGTTCTGCTACTGAGTCATTGTATCATCTTGGCTAATTAATTTCACCTTTTATATGCTCCAGGATTTCCATCTGTGAATGAACTAATGACACCTACTTACAGGCAGTATTGTGAAGATTAATTAATTGACATTATTGAAGTATCCTGAGGTGGAATTCCTAATGTAAGTACAAAATATTATCATTGATACTTCCTAATTAATCAGTTCACAGTAGCCAGCATGTGGTAATCATATTGGTCTAGAGCAAACAAACACAGAACTGGATTATATTTGAAATCTGTGGAGTTGTGGGTGTTCTTTTTTTTCAGATTTCCGGTTTTATGTGTTACTTGAACAATCTTATACAGTGAGTGTAAGAATCCCCTTCCTGCTGTGGCACTTACAGGTGTGGTGGGCTTGACTAAGGAGAAATACTTGATCCCAGTGTTATCCATATACCCCTAGTGGCCTTTTGTTGAGGATATGGAAAGATAACTTTAGCTAGAAATTTTCCTGCCCCCACTGGTGTAACATCACTAACACTTGAAAATGGGAGTCACTTTTAAATGGAGATGAAAACTTTAATGTTATAAAGAAGTGTATGGCACTGATTTAGTAACCCCCATGTGTGTGGCTGGGTATTACCAAACAGAGCTTTTCCTGCAGGAAGGAGGATGGGAGGAGTGATGTTTTACATCACGAAGCATCGGAAGGGAACTGATATGAAATTGTTCATTATTTATTTGAATAATAAGATCTATTCTTACTACTCATGGCTGGGATGCTGTTTGCATAATGATATGGCTACAGCTGTGCAGGTCTTAGGCCACATGTTTTAAAATGGCAAGAATAGCTGGAAAGAGTGAAATTTGTCTGAGCCTTGCTGTAATTAAATACTATGAAATGTATACCTTATTTTTCATAATGTAGAATACACAGTTGACAGTAAGGTGAATGTACGTGCTGTCTGTATTGCTTTCCAGAGACCAACCACATTCCTGAATGACGCGATACACTTTCTGTTGTTGCAAATGTAAGTCACAAGATATTTTTTGGAATTACTTGCAACTGTTGCACAAGGGCAGGCGGGAGGTTTAAAGCTTCACAAACATGCATATTTCTTTCTCCTTATGTCATTTCTTCTTTAAAAAAAAAAAGAAGTCAATCACATGCAATTATGAAACTGCTTTGTGTTTGACGCAGTTGAAGATGTTTTCAGGCCACAAAAATGTAACTTTCTATGAGTAATTTGAATTAAAAACCCACTCCAGCAGAAAATGTCCTCAATCTTTGGAGTCACATGGTTCTTGGAAAGCTCTCTCTTGGCTGGGCAGGAGGTCAGTCTTTTAAGGAGAGAGTCTGTGCACAAACGTGCAGCACTGCTAATGAGAGGAATTTCACACTCCTCTGCTCTGTGTTCATCCTGCCGAGTGCTGCCTCTAAAGCCTTGTGGTATTAGATGTTATAATAGATGCTGGGCCATTACAGAGCCGGTGTAGCAAAACGCTGTAACTCTAGCTAAAGAGATGGCTTCCAGAAGGTAGGGTCACCCACTCTGCAAACATAAAAAGTAATTAAAAATAGGGTCTCCTCTTTGTCTCTGAGTGTGTCTCTGCTATGTGGCTGCCCTTCCTTCCCCCAATGGTGATTTTGAATCCAAACGGCCCTTTCATCATCACTCCAGCTTAGCAGCAAAGCTGTCTGTCAATAATAGCAGGCTTCACTTCTTCCCCACCTAACTGGTAGTCACACAGCCAAAGAATGGCCTATCCAAAATTAGGATATGCTCAATGCACCATCGGCTGGTGTTGTTCCCATCAGCCTAATTATATGACTTTTGGGTCAGACAATGTCTCATTGTGTGGGCCCTTGGCAGCTACGGGACGCCTAATGCTGCATGAATGTCTAATGCAGAGTTTGATGGCTATGACCGAGGCTGCAGTTCCACGCTGGAATTGAAAACATCCGTGTAGTTTCCATAGAAAACCAGGTCAATGGTGCTTCCATAAAGCATTAGCCCCAGGGAAAGCTATTGGTTGCATGTTGCCTGCACAAATCCATGCAGGGTGAGCACTTTACGGTGCATTTCTCTTTCAGGTAAATGACGATTAAGGTGTCAGATTGATTTAGTTCTTAGAGACCTATTTCAGAATTCTAATTTATTGCAAGCACCACTCCTCATCCATTTATTCTACCTGTTCTTCTATTTTGTGCATTTAAGAACACTTGTGACGTATCTTATGAACATTGCAAGCACGATGATTATGGCTTTGTACCGGTAGGTTAAAAAAAAAATCACTTTATGTTTTATTTGACTGTAGAATTTTAGGTAGAACTATCCTATCTTTACAACACTTCCTGTAAAAACTTGCCTTTTTTTACAGGCAAAAGCAAGGTATAAATGTAAAAGGCACTTCATTGTATATGGAGGCTGTAATATGCTTGTTCATTTCAAAGGAGAATGTATAACTAATTACTTTTTAATTAAATCTCTAATGTCAACAGCTGTTTTTAAGGGATCTTTTTAAGCTACATTTATTTTTAGTATTGCTTAAGATCGTCTTTCTTTGCGTGCATCTCCCTTCATGCGTTATTGTCTTTTAAAAAGTTTTCTCTCTTTTAAAGTATCAACTACTGCTGGCATATATTAAAGGCTAAGTGCTGGTAAAATTAGTTTTTTAAGATGCTGGCTGTGACTTTTCTAAAAGTAGAAAGCAAAAAGATGTGACACCACCAAAAAGCCATTTGTTCTCTTTTTCTCCCAGAAGTAAAAAGTTTCAGTTCCAAAGCCCCAGTTGCCGAGGTTGGTTTTCAGCTGACAGTGGTTTCTGTCAGCTGGCTCTTATCAGTTCCTCTACAATGCCACTGCTAATTACAGTAATAGCACAACGGTGTCTTCAGGCTGAGTGATCCACACTGATTTAATCCTTTCCCCCTGGTAAACCAGCAGCAACATCAGTGAGTATCCTTTCAACACATGAAAAAAACTTAGCTCAATTTAGGGCTTCACCTATCAGGGCTTGGTCCTGTTGACTTTCCTAGAACTCGTGCTCACCATAAAGCTTCAGGTATCATTGCAGCTTCTTAGTGTTCTTGGTTTGTCATTTCCAGCCTGGAGAGGAATGAAAAAGAAGTCTTTGCTCAGCCTGTGGAAGCTTGGAAGCTCCATCATGGGAGTCAGCAGAGCCTGCCGTTTCCCGGCCACCGCAGGACTTCTAGGTGAGCTTTTTGTTGGGCATTAAGGTCAGAGCCACACCAGTGATCTCCATCCTGGCCTGGTGAGACCCAGGTCTGTGGCCCTGCTGTAAGGGGACCCAGCTCTACCCTGCACTTCTCCACTTCCACCTGAGCAGCCGTTACCAGGCTTCTGTGAAGGAGGGAGTTGACCACTCGCTGCAGAGCAGCTCCCCGCAGTTAGGCTTGGCCAACACCCCGTGAGGTATGGCTGTGCCTGTCTCATCTCTGGTAAAGTCTTTCAGAGCCATCTTCCTGCCCTGTGAAGGAGTTAAAATCCACCCTCTTTCTGCTCTGATCGGAGGGGCTGGTTTGTCTCACAGTGGGTTTGCGGATAGCCTGGCTCTGGCTGATCAGTAGTGCCATTTCCCTGCAGTTGCTGGGTTTCCTGTAGTTATGGGATCAACCTGCAGTAAAGACACCTTCTGTAATGTCCTCTGCTACCCCTGTCACCTCTCCTCTTGCTGAACTGTATGGTTTTGCATGATTCAGAGTCTTAAGTACACCAGAAATGGAGGAAAGTATTTCAGAGAGGATTACTGTATTGCTGTGCTATTATCAGTTTACTATCTAACCTCTAATTTGCTGTAAACATCAAAACCCAGTAATCACGAGAGCCTTGTGTTGGTTTTGGAAGGTAGTTCCATTATAGGTTGGAATTCCAGTGTATTTGCTAAATTAAATAAGAATTCGTTATCTCTTTCAGGGAACTAGTCAAGAGGCTCAGAAAGACTTGACATCTGAGGCTAAGATAATGATCTAGTGGTAGTAAAATAATAGCAAATCAGAAAAACTGGTGAATCTTCTTGTTAACACCTGCAAATGCGTGGTGATTATGGTTTTCATTGATAAATGGGGATTTGTGAGACCCGTGAATTGCGAGAGCAGAATTGACCCTTGTATTTTACTGTTAAATTTCTCATCTCCTTATAAGTGCACTGCATCTAATTTTGATCTCAAGCAAGCGTAAATCGCAGTTAACACTAGTGACATCACTGTAATTGCACATATCTGAAGTCTGTGTATTTGAGAGAAAATCAGACCTGTTTGGTCAGATTCCTCAGAGGGGGAGTCTCTGAAAGCAGAGCAAATTCACACGAGTGATATGAATTATCCCTTGCCTGACGCTGCTGTAAATGAAAGCTGAATCTCACCAGCTTAGTGCTGTGGCTTGAATAGTATTTTTGATGAAGCATGGCCCAGTGCTCTTTATAGCAAAAATGCCTTTTATTTCAATAGTGTAAAGCAACTAGAAATACTAAGATGTGTATCATTTCTTCAGCATGGTGAAGGGCACTCCTATGTCCACTCCTGATGGATGGGTCAGCCATTCTTGGAGCAGCAGACAGCTCAAGCTATTTTAATGGATTGATGGCATTACTAAGCCTAAAAATGATCCTTGGGGTGCTTGTAAGCATTTCTGAGAATATTACATCAAGCAAAATCATTAGCTATGGTGTTGTGGGGTGTACACAGGACAGAGAGTTAGAGTTGGGCTTGCAACTGTGCCTTCTGATGTGAGTAAATCACTGGATTTCTCCTCTCAGTTTGGTCATTAAACAGGGAGACAATCTTGCCTTGCTGTATTAGGGTTCTGTGAAGGTAGGTTAACTTCTATTAAAACAAAATTCTGCATTGGAGAGCGTAATGGAAATGCGAAGCATCTTGTTATGTTAGAAGCTGTGGAATTAGCAAGCATGGTTAATCCCTAGTGTTTGACAATAATTTCTCTGTACAGGGACAGAAAAACAGGGCCAATAAGAGACGTGCCACAGCTAGGCTGGCGGTGGCTGCAGTGAAACAGCATTTTGATTTGTTGGTCTCTCAGAACTTTGCTTAATGTGTTAATATTTCTTCTTGTTAGAGCTGATTGAATCGCATAAAACTGAATTCCAGGAACTGAATAGCTACATGGCATTGTATTAGGAGACATACCAATCACTCCAGCATTGCTTTCCTGATGTCAACAACACGTACTGCATACCAACATCCGTACTCTACCAGAGATGCTCTTCTACGTGTCTGAAAACTGCATGACAATTTGTGCAAGATGAGCAAATCTTGCATGCTGGGTTATTGAAAAGTTGAGTAACTTGACTGGTGTTATTTTCAATAATATTTACCAGCAGACTCAATATATTGACTTTTAGTCCTGTCATGTTGAATTACTGTTACTCAGATAGTAATTGCAAAATTCTTTTTTGTTGTTGTTTTTTTAGTGTTTTCACAGGTAACACTTTTATTTCGCAGAGAGTCGTATAGAAAGCTCCTGTTCTTCTTTGCCCAGCCTCTCTACTACCTTTCACCTCTCAGTTCATGGCAGTTCACAGACAAGCTGCAGCAGGTGAGTTGGGCAAGGAGATGGTGAGGATTTGACCTGATGCACTGAAGCAATCAGAGTATCGAAAGTCCTGGTGCATCCTAAGCTGCTCAAATCAATGTGAGCTTTCTTTCTGACCTCAGTGGATCTAGGATTTTCCTGCCATGTACATTTGCTGCCTGGACAGCAAGTAAAGGTTTCTTTGCCTGTGTGATTAGGCTCATAAGTCTTCACAGAGGAGGCATGTTCTGTGTGGCTGATAACTTCGGGAATGTGTGTTGTCTCTAGTCAGAAACATGCTTTTCCTGTTGTGAAGGCTATTCAAGTTATCTGTATATAATATCATGAGCTGGAAAAGAAAGGGGATTTGTGCCCTTTGAAGAAGCTCCTCCAGATTCTTTTCTGCCTCTCTTCAGTGTGATGCACCAGTATTTACATTCTTTTCTATCTCTCTTTTTTTTTTTTTTTCCCTACTTGCTCCTTTCTTCCAGGCAGTTAGAGTCTGGCTTTGGTCTTGCTGCTGGATGCAAGTTTTTGTTTCAATGTGTAACTGGATTTTTTGGTTCTGGTGCAGAAGCCAGGCTGTCTCACAGCGGCTCCTCTTTGCATTAGACCCTGGCAGGTCTCTCCTGCACTGATGCACTTATTAAAAGCTTAGTTATTTATTCATTTCCTCTTCACTATCTTTAGGTATATGCCAGGACTTGGAAATGATCAGTCATGTTTTTTTCATGTTGCCTTGCTCTTTTTGTTCTCTTTTATCAGTATAGAAACCCATGGTGTTGGTACAGGACTTATTCCCAAAAAACAATGTTTCCAACCCATTTATCTGTACAACTTACTTTTTTGGATTTTGGATTTTCCGCTAACATTGAAGACTCCAGGCCCTTTCTTTCTGCCTTACTGACATCAAAATATAGCAAAACTTTTCCATTTACAGAACTGACTGATTTACCTGACTTTTTTCATTGCTATGGGAATGTTTACAAAAACTAGTCCATTTTCAATTATTGCTTGTATTATTGTATGTTGTCTATATACCTGCCTTATTTTTTTTCTTTTACTACTTGTCACCCTCTTAGATGAAAATATTTTGGAAAGCAATAAAACTAACCTGTTACAATAGGGCCTATTTGTGCTGTAGGGCTGGAGTGGTCTGGCTACTCGATTCTCCCACTCCCGTAGCTGAGAGCGCCCTGCAAAATGGAAGAAGCAAAGCTGAAAGTGAGGAGGGTGCTCTGGGGTTTGGGAATGACCCTCTCCAGTGCTGTCCTAAAGCTCTGGCTTGTGCTACAGGGACCTTTGTTTTACAGAGCACCTTCAGCTGTGTTCTGACCGGAAGGTGATGCACGCGTGAGCTGCCCTTGGTCCAGGAGGGGTCGACGTGCCTTCAGACCTCTACAGTGGAAGGGAAAATAGGTATGATGTAGGTGGCATACTGGTGAGGAGCTTTGGGAAAAGCTACCTCCTAGCAGGGATGCCCAGGGGTGAAAGCATGGTCTGATGTGACAATTTTGCTTCAGATCGTGTTTTGGTGCTAACCTTGACTGAGCAAGATGAAGATGATTTAAAGAGTGGACTCCAAGCTGCAGCCCACTACATGTCCTTTGTAGTTCTGCTTGAGGAATGAAGATGTAAAGCCCATAAAACTACAGTGCTCAGAGACCAGACTGCAGTGTGTGTGGAGGGCAAAGAGGGCTGGAGGGATTTCCTCCTCCTTCGCTGTGTCACATAAACAGCTGAAAGAAAGCTAGGAATTAGAGATTTCGGTGGGAAACAGCAAATAACACCAGAGAGAAAAGGCCAAGCCGCAGATAAACGTGGACTTATCTCACCACAAGTGACTACTTGAGTGTGTTGAGCACTTGCATGCACAAAGTGAGGAGCGAAAGACAGGGAAGGCAACTAGGTGGAATAAAGGTTTTGAATCCAGACGTTCCAGTCGTGCTGTGAGATGTGGTTTATTTCAGGGATATGAGCATTTGCAATCACCCAGATCCTCGGCTGGTGCCTATATAGACAGGTGCTGCTAAACCTTCTAAATTAAAATAGTTTAATTTTGAGGGAAAACCTACCAGAACAAACCAGTCTGGAGACACTCTTGTGCATGCAAATGGGAAAGGGGGAGGCTGGCTTTAGAAGCACAAATGTAACAGACATAGCAAAACGGAGGAAAATGAAGGTACGCTGGGAAAGAAGCACAGAGGGAAAAGACAAATGTAGGGTAGAGACAGAGAAAGGGCTCTTCTTGGAGAAGTCACAGCAATGTAGTGACAGCACTGAGAGCCACTAGCACTGCCCTCTAAAAGCTGCTTGGTTATTGGAAGTTGAGGGGAAATTCCCTATCAGATCAACTATTGCTTCAGATGGCACAAAACCAGGCAATTTCCATGCTGTAATTTTATTTTTTTTTTGTGTGTTTTGGCTTGGTTTCTTTTTTTTTTTTTGGCATAAAATGTGATTAGGCTCCAGGGAATTCCTTAGGTTTTGAGGAAGATGGATGCAAGGCAGCACTGGGGCACAGCACAGGTACATTTCACAGGTGCTGTGATCATTAATAAGGGGCTGCTCACTGTGCGGGTTATCACCTGCTAATATAAATTTGATCTGAATCAAGAGGCACAGCGCAATCACACTTCTGTCAAATTAGCCAGGGTGAATTATGCAAAGTTTGTGCAGCTTTATGTTTTCAGATGAGCTTTATGCT